TCCTCAATGAGTTACAACCCAGAGAGCAAAGAGTATTGAGAAGTGTAAAATAAAGAAATGTTAATATATGATGAGAAAAGCAATCACACACTTTCTGCAGATAACCTACCAAGGGAGTGGGGTTACTAAAGAAAAGGCATGCTGTAGTAGCAATGAGGATGCAGATAGGCCATAAACAAAAGGCACTGTATATGACCATGAAGGAAAGGGGGCAGCCTGGTGGCAGTTGCAGTCAGGTTGCTACTTCAGATCCCTGAATTTTAAAAATAGTTGTTAAGTGAAAATCTTAAACAGTTAACATTTTTTTTTTTTTTTGAGACAGGGTCTCACTATGTAATTGAGACTGACCTGGAACTCACTATGTAGGCCAGGCTGGTCTCAAACCCACAGCAATCCTCCTGCTTCAGCCTCCTGGGATTACAGGCATGTGCCACCACACCTGGCTAACATAACAAATTTTTTAAGCTTACAGAAATTCCTGATTTTATATATTTCACACCACATTGTTATATACTGTAAAAACCTTAATAATTAGAAAATCAACTAACAATTTCTTATCAATAACACAAAATATATGAAATCTAGGTTCTTGACAGGAACTAAAATTATAACTTCTATTTTCCAAATCCTTTTAAAAACTTGGCTACAAATACAATATGCACAGTTTTTCTGTGTACGGTTGTAAAAACCGTGTGATCTACTTATTTCTTTAGAAATATCTGAACCGTATTCTAGCACCAGGCCAGATTAGATCTCTCCTGATCCACTCAACTCCTAAACTCACACAGAAAACTTCTTTTCACACCATACCACTTTCATATACTAAGAATATATGAAAAATCATTAAAAGCTCACTCTTGTGGCTGCTGGAAGAATGCTATCTAAATGCTGTCCCTCTTTATGTACACCAGGTCTCAGAAATATGAAAAACAATGTTTTTATTTGAGCTTTGTAACTGACCCAACTAATTATCTTCCTTCATTTTGGCCACAAAGAAACTCAGAACAGTACTTGCAGACTTTTTTTTTTTTTTTTTGAGACAGGGTCTCACTATGTAGTCCAGACTGCTCTGGAACTCACTGTGTAGCCCAGATTGGTCTTGAACTCACAGCTATCCTCCTGCCTCAGCCTCTCGAATGCTGGGATTACAGGCATGCACCACCACAGCCAGCGCATACCATTATTCAATAACAATGAAAACTCAAAGACCCAGAGCACTACAAGAGCCTACTATTTAAGTTAGTTGAGTGTTTTGAGTTTTTGCGCCAAAAAATAGAATTAAAGACATCATATTAAGTATACTGTAACTATTACCATCAAGACATTTTCTAGGTAAGCCTTCAGAAATCCCATTAAATATAACATCACATTATGTTATCATTACCCAAGGGATCTAAATACATACTTGTGGATATTTCCTACGGTTCTATTCTGCACCTCCTTCTAAACTCATTTTTACCTTCATAATTTCAATCATGTCTATGTGAATATTTTAAAATGTCTATACCATTTCCATCGGACTGCTTTGTCATAACCTCAGTGAAAATGAACAAAGGGAGCTTCGTTATTGCTCTTCTTCCTTACCCCCATAATCAATACTTTCTGAAAACCTCCTTTCTGCCAACAACACTACCATTCTGTATGATTCAAGGCTTTGGTCATCTTCACCCCTTCCTTCTGTTTATCTCAGTTATTCCATCTGATCTTGACCATTTGTTAATGCATGTTTTTTTGCAGTGCTGGAGACTGAATGCAGGGCTTTGGATATTCTAGGCAAGCACTGTGCTGTGATATCTCCTTGGCCTTTTTAATTTTATCTTGAGACAGAGTCTTATGAAGTTGCCCAAGCTGGCCTCAGATTTGTGATTCTCCTGGGTAGCTGGGATCATAGGCATTTGAAGTATCTTTCTGTTTAGCATTTTCTTTTTTCACTTGCCCTTTTATTTTCCTACTTCATGCTCCAATAAGTTGAGCTCTCTGCCTTATCTCGCTCCTCAGACTTTCCATTTCATTCTTTGTTTCAGTGTTTTAGAATTACTTTTTAAAGAAAATAATGTAGAAAACTTTGCTTATATTTTTAGCACAGAGCAAAACAATGAATAAAATCAGAACTATATGTAAACAAAAGAATGGTTGCTGGTTAAAGAACCATAGCGTATCTCCTTTCAATAAATTAAGTGGTTGAAAACAATACTTTAAGAAATTTCAAGTTTTCTTTAAATTCTGATTAACACAAACCATAACATAAAAAATCTATTGGAGACAATTGTTGAAGATGTGAGAAACTCTTACTCGATTCAAATTATAAATGATGAAAAGAAAAACAAACCAGAAAAAAAGAGTACACAAATATGCTTGCAGTGTAACTATTATTTTAAAACCCACAATAAGGAATTTTTTATTTGTGTAAGAGGAATGAGGACTAGGGGGAACCTTGGAGCCACAAGAATAAGAGTTGGTTTTTAATTGTCACTTTCCTCAAATCTGCAGGAGTAACTTCCATAACTTGTTACTTCTCAGGGACCTCCCTCAACATGAACTTTCAGGGCAACCCATGATCTGGTCTCTCGACTAATTATCACACATCTCACAGCTATTCATTAATCACAATCCACTAACACCAGACCAAGCAGGTTAATACATCTACCATGGTAAGTCACATATTTCCCTTATTCTGCCTCTCCTCCCTACACCTAAATGCCCTCAGCCCTGCCTTAGCCAAATCTTATTTATTCTTGGGGACATGGATCACATCTCATCTCAGTGAGGCAGCCCTCCATTTATTATGACCTTGTTCATGTATTTCTTTCTGTATGCATAATCAGCATCACACTGCTCAGAAGTTAATTGTTCTCTGATTGTTTCACATGTATGCTTTCCAAGGTGGTCTCATTTATTCCTATGGATTTAATTATAGAACATAAGCTGATTCCCAAATCTAAACCTTTGTCCCGTTTGCTAAACTTCAGACTCATACATCCGCCTACCTGTCCATGCCCATGGCTATCTAACAGACATCTCATATTTAACATGTCCAAACAAACTACTGGTTTTTTCTAGTGAAACACATTTAAGCCCTCTAGACTTATTCATTTCAGCCTCATTATATGTCCAGTTCCTTGGGCCAAAACATCCTTTTTCTTTTTCTCTTACATCCCACTTCAACCCACTAGGACAATTTGTTGGTTTCAATCCCAAAATACAGCCAAATCCAACCATTTTTCTACATTACCACACTATTTCAAGTTACAATCCTCACCTCTACCTGAATGTCTGAGTCTTCTAACTCAGGTCTTTGCTTCTACTTTCACTCTGAGAATCCATTCTTCAAAGCAGTCTGGATGATTTACTCAGTCAAAATCGATCAATATGAAAAAATGTTCAACATCTCATTCGAGAGATGCAGATGAGAACAACACTGAGATTCCACCTCACCTCAGAAAGAATGGCTGTTATCAAGAAATCAACCAATAACAAATGCTGGCAGAATTGTGGGGAGAAAGAAACCCTTCTCCATTGTTAGTGCGAGTGCAGACTGGTGCAACCACTGTGGAAATCGGTATGGAGATACCTCATACAACTAGGATTAGAGGTTCCATTTAAACCAGCCATCCCTCTGCTGGGTATCTTTCCAAAAGAATGAAAAGAATCATACCACAGCAATATATGCGCACCCATGTTTATAGCAGCACAGTTTGTAATAGCTAAAACTTGGAAACAGCCCAATTGCCCATCAACTGGAGACTGGAAAGGTGTGGTTTTTCTATAAAATGGAGTAGTATTCAGCCTTAAAGAATGAGAAACTAGAGTCATTTATAGGTAAATGGATGCATACTGAGGCCATACTCCTAAGTGAAATAAATAGGACACACATGTGTAAATACTGAGAAGTTTCTGTGAATAGTGGTGTGAAAAACTAAAACTGTAAATAAGGTTCAAATTGTATAAATGATAATGTGAAATAGGAAGAAAGGGACTAAAGGAGTAGGGGAAGTTGGAAGGGTAGGAGAAAGGAAAGAAGGGAAAAGAAAAAATCTGAGAAAAGGAAAAAATGGAAACAAAGTCTTTGTAAATAAGGAAGTGGGGGGCAACAGGAGGGCAGGGGAATGGGGAAAAAATAAGAACCAAAATACATCATGTAAAGGTACAAGATCCCAACAATGAGTGTAACTGTACTGTATACCTAAAAAGTACCAATAAACTCAATGAGAAAAAAATCGATCATATAACTCCCCAGCATAAAACTCCTCAGCAGCTTCCCACAGTTCTACATGAGACTCAACAGATTCAGTCACCATGACCTAGAAGGTCCTATACATAACCTATCTCATTCCCACCTTTGCAACCTCAACTTCTGCCATTCTACTGATTGTCCATAATGCTTTGGCAGCAATGTTTTTCTCTCTGTCTCTTGCTATGTATCCAAGGGCTTCTCCCTGGCTGTCACCTCAGCTCTGCACTTCATCCACAGCTTCCTTCAAATAACTGCTTCGTTTTTCATCTCTGCTCAAATGTTATCTTTGCAGAGAGGCCCATGTCCACTGCAGACAAAGTCACACTCCAGCCCATCATCCAGCTTTACTCCCCATCTTTACCCTGACTGTAGTCCTGGGGAATAAACCCATACCCAGACAGTTTTATTTACTAAAATGTAAGCTTCTTTACTTCTTACAGGGCAAGCAGCAGGTACAAAATTTTCATATTCCCCATTATAGTTTGCCTATTACAATTTTAGGCATACAAAAATTCCAATAAATACCTAGTGAGCAACTTATAAAAAGAAGTATCTGTGTTCTGCAAAACTACGATTCTAAATCCAGATATAAATGCAGAAAAACTGTAAAAGGCCTGATGACTACTAAAGTTTAAAACAACACGATTATAGACTTAAACAAGTTTTCCTAAACTAATCAAACACTAATTTCTACTGCAATGACTTAAGCTTCACTAAAATGACAACCACGAGGCAAATGATTCTAATGAACACAATGAAGTCTTACTTAATGTTATAATGTCCAGTTTTCAGTGTACATCTATCAGGAAGTTGAGCAAGTTTTCTTGAGAGCATTTTAAAATACTTTCTGCACTCCTGCATTCCTGTGTTTTGCTCATAATCAGTAGAAGCAGAAAGTGGCAGTCCATCTCTGACACGAACCACTGAGGCAGATAAAATCACAGACATTTCAACTGACAGTGAAGACCTAAAACAAAATGAATAGTCAGGGTTAGATAAAAATAAGCCTATGCAAAAATGTTCAACTTATTAGTAACCAAGGAAACTAATTAAAACAATGGCATATGGATTTCACTTGACAAGTTAGCTGTTAAAAAAATATTTGCTTTTGTCTGGCATTCTCATTAAGTCAAAGTAAAAACTGTCACAGGAGGACCGGGGATTTAGAATTTAGATCAGTGGTTCTGCCGCCTGCCTTGCAAGTGCAAGGACTCGAGTTCGATCCCCAGTACCAAAAAAAAAAAAAAAAAAACTGCCACAGGGCTGGGGGTTTAGCTCAGTGGTTCTGCCGCCTGCCTTGCAAACACTTGAGTTCAATCCCCGGTACCAAAAAAATAAGTAAAAACTGCCATAAAGGGCTGAGGATTTAGCTCAGTAGTGCTGTGCCTGCCTCACAATTGCAAGGTCCTAAGTTTGATCCCCAGTACCAACAACAACAAAATGACATAAAAATCATTCTCAAAACAGTTTGGCAACTCTGATAAGAGTTTAAAAAACATGTATAGCTATTGACTTTAGTAGTAAATATCTAACCCTATTCTAAGGAAAATAATCAGAGATCCAGAAAAAAAAAACAAAAAAACTCAACTGATATTCCCCTACTGGAATAACTAAAAACAACCTAAAAATCCTACAATGGAATGATAATTAAATAAATTATAGTACACTGATATGATGGAATACTATGCAGCCACTAAAAGTTATGTGTATGACAAAAAGATTAATAATATGGTGAAATGCTAATATGTTAAGTTTTTCAAAAGCTGGATGAAAATTACATATTTTTTTCACAAAAATAAAGAAAGGGAGAAAATGGAGAGATACAAGCAAGATATCAAAATCAAAATAACGTTCATCTCCAGGACAGAGTATTTTGGATGTCTGTTATTTCATAATTTCCTAACTATTCATAATATTGTACAAAAGATATATATACTTTCATAATCAGAAAATAATTTTTATTCAACATACTGTAATTTGTAAAGCTAAAGGAACACTGGTTTTAATGTTATCCTTAATCTTTTTACCAAAAAGTAAATCACAATGGGCACTTTTATTGGATTCTGATCATGTTTCACAACAGATGAAAGGATTTCACAGGCCTGATTCTGAAATAAATGAGGTAACGAGCTCATATAAGAAGTTGGAAATTGGTTAGAAATGAAAATTTCTAGGTCCATCCCCAAAATTCTGGTCTACCATCTGTGGGATGGGGTCTGAGCATGTTCAGTTTTAACAAATTTCTCTGAGGTTATTACTATGCTTATTGTCCTTAGGATTATATTTTGAAAAATCATTTGATTACAACATGTTTACCATCTGAGATTAAGTGGTAACTTCTGTCAGCCCATCAGAGTGCAGTGTCACTAAGTTTTGTTTTTTTTACTACCATAGTAGAGGTAATTGATAAAAATTCAAAATTTGATAGAATTTTACAGGCTTTTTTCAGAGGTAATTATATTTCAGAAATTAATCTTTACCTGCCCATTTAAGCTAGGTCAATAGTATCCCATTCCAAAAGAAAAAAAAATGAGCAATACATCCAAAAAAATGCCATAGAAAATCAACTGGTAGGGTCAGGGATTTAACTCAGTGGTTCCGCTGCCTTCCTTGCAAGTGCAAGGTCCCAAGTTCGATCCTCAGCACCAAAAAACAAAGAAAGAAAGAAAATGAACTAAATCAACTGGTTCAGTTTGTAAATCAGAAGTTGATAGTTTTCATTGCTGTATGAATTTTAAATCTGTCTATTCATGGTGGTAACTGACTTGATAATAAAAATCAAGTCAACTAATAAAGGTAAAGCATTAAATTTACTACATCCTTTTCCTTTTTTAATGAGGAAAGGGGAGGAATCTCTAGACATTAATATATCATTATTCTCTAACATTTCTCTCCTGCAGTTATTAAAAAGGGGAAAAATAACAGCAGCAAATCAAATCAGACATTTTACTATAGTGGAATCTTCACACTAAAATCCTAGTGTTGCCGGGGATTTAGCTCAGTGGTTCTGTTATCTGCATTGTAAGCTCAAGGACCTGAGTTTGATCCCTGGTACAAAAAAAAAAAAAAAAAAAAAAAAAAAAGAAAAAAAAAAAAAAAAAAAAAAAAAAAATCCTAGTGTCATATATCCAAATCAGCATTCTTTTCCCCATTTATCTAATTTTGTGTTTTTCTTTTAAAAAAGAGTATCAAGAGAAAGGTGGGACCCATGAAAGAATGATATCTATACCATAAACTCTACTGAAATTTTATTTAATTTTTAAACCACAATGGTAACATTTAGCCCAAGTGTAAGAAAAGAGGAAAATATCTTTACACCCTGAAGTATTTATTATTTAAATGTAAAACTACTGCTTTTTCAGAAATATGACCATTCTAGGAATCAATGTGAAGGCCAGTTATGACTTATAGTTCCAAATGTTCTTACTCATCGTTTTAATGCTTGATTTTTCTAGGATCATATCAGAAATATAATTTATTAATAGTTCCCCAACTTTCACATAGTCTCCAAAGTTACTCTTCTTAGTGAAAGACAGAAAGTTTTTTCAAGTCATTAGTGAATGACTTGAAAGACAGAAAGATATGACTCATATTTCTTAAAACATATGCTAAGAAAACTTGTTCTTACAAACCTGCAAGTCCTATTTTTCTGTAACCATTTACTGGGTATCTACCATAAATTAGATACTTATATTAGGCATTACTTAGTTCCTGTTCCAAGAAATAACATCCCAAATTGAGAAATTCAAATGAAACAAATAAATACAGCACAGGCTCTATTGGCTACCACTCTAAAAAAACAGAAAACTAGTTAAACAAACTTGCATTTCAGATATTCCTAATACACATTTTAGACTGATAACCAAAACATAGCAGCTATAATTCCCTGTCATAATCCTTGAAAGGCTGTCCAAGGACTGGTGTGTGTGTGTGTGTGTGTGCACACGCATATGCACAGAAAGTTAGAAACCCAAACCAGTTGAATCCATGCAAAAAGAAATTGGGATGAATGCCCAATGAACAATGCCAGGTTTAACTAATTGCTAAAAAGACTCCAATCATTTTAAGATAACAAATATATTGTCTATTGACTCAATAAACATACCACCCCCATTTTTTCTTTTTACTTTTTATTATAGTTTAAGAACAAACCAAAACCCAGACCAAAAAAAAAAAATCTCTATTCTCATTTGCATTGTGCTAGTAGAAATAAAAAATTACATATACCAATGCCAAGCTAGGGTAAAAGTCCAGAAGAAGGTGGTGGTTGAAAATGCCAAGGAAACTTTAAGAGAAGTAGTAGTTTTGGGGGATTTTTACATTTTTTTTTAAATTTTATCAGGATCAAAGAGGAATTTTTAAGCCACTGGTCCTCACTTTTAACACAGAAAATATTACATTTGCCTTTGATAATTAACAGGAAAACCACAGGCAATCTGAGTAGTGCCTATATTTCCTTTCCCCACAGCTATTGGAGGAAAAAGCCCAAATTAGAACCTACATAGATCTATGAAGGTTGAGAAATAAAGTCACAATGCCAAACAAGATGGATAGCAATTTCTTAAACCTAAGACAAGTCACTGAGCCCTCACCTTCAGAAAATTGTCAGGTAGTGACCGCAGGCCTGAGCCACCAGGAAGTCATCTCAAAAAGTAATAAAACTCAAAATGAGCCCAATGTGGTGGTGCACGCCTGTAATCACAGCACTTGGGAGGCTGAAGCAGGAGGATCGCTGTGAGTTTAACACCAGCCTGGGCTACACAGTGAGTTCCAGATCAGTATCAACTACATAGTGAAACCCTGTCTCAAAAACCAAAAACCAAAAGCAATCAAACAAAAAAACCCAAAACAAACAAACCTCAAAATGCCTGCACCTCTCCTGTGTGTTCTTACTGTATTTATCAAACACTGATCATTCAACGACTTTTGCCCTATATTTTTAGCAGGATCTGTGAAATCTACTTTTGAGTACTAGGTTTTTCTCCTAATTTAAATAAAATAAATTTTAAATGTCCATTTGCTTATGAAATTTCATACATATATGACAGTAACAAAGTTTGGGAAACACTAACTGGTATATGTTATTTTATTAAAAGTGCTAGCTCATGGGAGGCTGAGGCAGGAAGGTTGCCTTGAATTTGAGGCCAGCCTGGGCTACACAGTGAGTTTAAGGCAACCTGGACTACATAGCGAGACCCTGTCTCAAAAAAACCCCAACCCAAACCAAACCAAACTAAAACACATAAAAGTGCTAGCTGAGATCTGTGGGAATTAAGGAGTTTTAATTTGGAGACTGGTTTTATAATTGTGATATACAGGATAGGGGCAGACCCATGTAAAGAAGGAAAGGGAAAAGGGGACCACAGAAAACCAAAAATTTTTTCTGCTGCTTTGCCTATGCCCCCTACCTCACTAGTCATTGGTACTCCTAGTACAGGCACTTGCACTGCACAGTATTTTAAGACTCACGCTCCACAGATTATACCCACACTTAGGAATAGGCTCCGCAACAAATGTACAAATGTGTACAACATTTATGTAGCACCACATAATTCACAGATGGTAGGTATAACCTCCATTTTACATTTAGGAAAACTGGGCTCAATTTCTCAAGTTCATACTGCTAGCATATGGTATAATTGGTATTTAAACTTAAATTCCTTGAGTCTCTATCTACATTACTGTTATATGAGCCTTTCAAAACCAACAAGGGGCAAATAATCAGTGATGCAGAAGCTAACTAGCTACTCATTTTGAAATAATAATACAGCTTACATTTTCTTTAAGAGGCAGTATGGTAGTTAAGAAGTCAGATACTACAAATTTAGACTCTCCCACACACCAGCCATGTAACCTTTGGCAAGCTTTTCTAAATCTAAAGTTTTGCCTTTCTAAATCTCAATTTCTTTACCTGTAAATATGGCTACAAATAGTATCGCAGAGGGTTCCCTTACTGATAGTAAATAGAATCTCCCTCAAAGGATCATGTAAACCTCCTGATCCTGCCTTGAACCTTCTAATAAACTAAAAGTGCTATTAGTATTTGTTGCTCATATTATTTATCGATTACCCTTTATGGAGACACTCTATATGCATTACCTCATTTAAACTTTTCAATAACCTGTCTGGTGGGTACTACTAGCTTCTTTTACCTTCAAGAAAACTCAAACCCAGAAAGTTTTAGTAATTTGCTCAATCCCTAAACAAGCAACAGCTGTTTAAATTTAGGACAGACCCTAACAACTCTATGATATTGCCTCTCAATATATGCAAACTTCTTACACAAATACAGAGGAAAATCACTAGCATCCTTTTATAGGCCCTAGGTTTCTTTTGCACAGAAACAGAAAATACACTTAAATTTATTTCTTATATACAATAACAGAAATATATATTTAAATTTAAATTGGTCATGAACTTAAAAAAAAGGTATGAAACTGATGTGATGGTTCTCAACATAGGAAACACCTAGACAGATGTTCCATTACGTTACGGAATGGTCACAGGTGAAAAGATTCAAGACACTGCCTAATTCCTTACAATCTTGGAATGTGAACGAATACCAGTGACATGGAATGTGAGTCAGAGTTTTAAAAACTGGTTATTTCACCTATCAGTTGGGATCCTATCGTGTCTAGTGTGGTGGCTGACACTCTGGCTCTGAACTGGTCTTTATCTGAACAGGCACAGGAGAGCTGGTTCTGAAGAACTCCACCAGCCCCAGGTGCATGATCCAGGAAACTAAGCAGCAGGTGAAAATTCTAAAGCTGCTTTTACTACCAGAGAGATTCAAGCCGGTGAGGGTTCGGAGTGCTCTTTCACAGACCTCCACTTGTCGAGCCAATTGCTCAAGTCTCTTTTGGGCCACATCGTTCCCAAAGTGTCCCTAAAAGGGCCTCAAGGAGTTTCCGTGAGGCAGCGCGGATTTAACGCCGATTCAATCCTCCACAAAACTCATGGTAAGCTACTGTTTAGTCCTACCCGGCCTAAAAGATACAGGACATGTCACCTCAGGCTCTTGGGCCACCTAGCAGGCTGGGTGGAGCCCAGTGCTTCAGACGTCTGGGGCCAGGGAGTGCCCACTACGAACTGCTGGCAGCCCAGGGCGACGGTCCCCTCCCTCAGACGTCCCTGCTGGGGCTCCGTACTCGGCGCAGGCCAGCCAAGGAGAAGCAGTCGCCCACGTGGCCCACTGACCCAAAGCGAAGGGGACGGAATCCTCGCTCGTCTGCCCTCAGAGCTCCGCGGCCCCAACGGCTCCCCGTGAACCAGCTCGCTTCTAGACCCGGGCAAGCCGAGGAAAGCGGCGGGAGAGCTAGGGCAGCGGCTAGCCAGCGTCTCAGCGACCCTGAACGAGGAGGGAAGAGGGCTGGAAGGGGCTGGACAGTACCTGTCGAGCCTGGACCCGCCGCTCAGAGTGACGCGCCACGCAGTGCATTGTGGGGCCGGGAGTGGCCTCTAGGCAGGGAAGCCCCACGTCCAACGTGGCTGGCGCAGGCAGTCGAGCCCCTTCCCCGCCCTCTCAGCTCGCCTAGACCAATCAGATTCCTGGGTCCGCCCTAGCCCCGCCTCCCCCAGGGGACGTTGGCAGCCTGTGGAGCAGATTGCAGTCCTCTGGGAATGCAACTGGGCTGTCCCTCAGAAATGAGGCTAATCTTACTCTCTTACCGCTGTGTCTGGAGGTAATATTTCTCTCACACGCTTTAAGGAAGGGGGAAAAACGTCCTCTGAACGAGCAAGAAAAGGACCTGTCCCCATCTGCTGCCACCACCCTTAGAAGGAAAGTAACCTTAGCCGAGAAGGGCCAGATGCTGGCCCCACAGCCCCTCCCAGCGTTTGCATGGCCTTGTATTATTAAACACGCATTTACTGAGTGTCTTCCAGGCAACAAGTGCAACTTTAGACATCGGGCCTTGAGAGTGAACATAACACTCATTGAATTGAAGGTATAATAGGAGCAAGAGACAGTAAAGGATGAATTGTTACATAAATATAAACGGTGACCCATACTATGAGAAAGATTAATGGGTGTGATGATGGATTAATTTTGAACTCTCAGGGAAGAGTCCTCTAAATAAGTGTCTTTTAAGCTTCAGGCGTATTAAGGAGCCCTAGAGACTATTCGAGACCAAGGAGTCATCTGTGAGGTTGGGTCGTAAAAGAACTTGGAATTGTTCTAGGAATTGAAAGGAAGTTGTGTGGCTGGAGTGCAGGGGGTAAGAGGCTGTGATGAGACTAAGGCTAGAGAATGCTGTAATTGGCCACTTTGTGGGTTTCAGACTCTAAGTTGTAAGGTATCCTGAGGTCAGTGGGCGGCTAGTAAAGACTGTGAAGTAGTATCTGATTTACATTTGTAAAAACTCAAAATGGAAGAGGGCAAGAAAGGTTATTGGAAGGCCAGTTTGGAGACATTACAATAGACAAGGCCACAAATGATGGCAGCTTGAACTAGGGAAATGGCAGTAGAGACAAAAAGAGGTGGATAAGTTTAAAATATGTATAAATTAGAGGCAGACTCCAAGGAGCTTAATAATGGATTGGTTTGCTGGGAAAGGTCAACAAAAGAGAAGTGTTAAGAATGGCTCCATTAGAAACTAGATGAGTTAAGCCACTTACTGATTCAGAGAACAAAGAATGAGGAGCAAATGTTTTGCTGTATGTCAAATTTGAGATACTTGTAAATGGAAATGTCGTTCAGGTTTGAATACATATGTCTAGAGCAGAAGAAAGATCTCAACTAATTACATAAACTTGACGAACCGAGCAATCCCAGTCCTACTAGCTATACATTCAACAGAAATGTATTCATTTGCTCATCAAAAATTATGTGTATAAGAATGTTCATAGTATGAATGAATTTTAGTATAGTTACATAGTAGAATGTCGCGAACCGGCGACGCAGAGCACTGTCCCGCAGTGCCTCAAACCTGAAAGAGCAGCGGGGTGGAGATGGGGCAGAGAGAAAGGAAGGACACCAAGACAAGAGTCTGATCAAGGCGACGTTTATTGCAAACAAGCATCAGCCTTTTAAAGGCACATCAATGGGAAACACCTGACTCCTACAGCTAACGTCAGATTTTTAACAGGAAGTACCTGACTCCTACAGATCTTTGGCTATCCGAGTTTCTCTCGTGCAGGGTCAGAAACAAGTTTAACACTTGCAGTCCTTAAAGAGGAACAAATGTTATCTTTCAAAAAGCCAATGGGCCATGGCTGGCTTCCCACAGTAGAATACAGGAAAAAGAATAAACAATTTACCACTATTGAATTTCATAACAAAACTGAGTGAAATAAGTCAGACACAAAACATGCACATCACATGATTACATTTATGTTATGCTCAAAAACCAAACTACTATAGATTATAGAAGTCAGAATATTGGTTAACCTGGGCCAGGGATTTAGCTCAGTGGTGCCGCTGCCTGCCTTGAAAGCCCAAGGAACTGAATTTGATCCCTGGTGTGTGTGTGTGTGTGTGTGTGTGTGTGTGTGTGTGTGTGTGTGTGTGTGTGTTTTAACCTTAGTTACTATTAATATTTGAAAAAGAACACTCAGGAACATCTAAAGTTCTAATGTTCTTTTACTCTATCTGGGTGTCATTTACATGTACAATTAATGAAAATTCTTCAAACTGTATTCCTATTATTACACAATTTTCAGTGTGTTTTATTCATTAGCAAGTTTGTATTTGAAAGATGCCAGATATGATGTGGCCATAAGTAATTACCACCAAACTAAATCTCCTACCATAAGCAATAGAAAGCAAAACCAAATCTATGAAACAAGTATATTCAGGCATTGGACAGTTCAGACATAGTAAGATTGTGATCCTAGAAAGAAAGAAAACAAACCATGAGCCCTTCAAATTTCCCTTGATTGCTTCCTGGAATTACTTACCTAAGCACAAGACCGAAAGAAGTCAACCAGAGTATTTAGAATCTGGGACATTTGGTAAAAAGACCCCAGAAAGCTCACCCTAGAAATAAGGCTAAATTAGTCCAAAGATCAAAAAGCTAATCTACAAGTAAATTAATTGCTTGCTGAAAAGAAATGTAGCAGTCGTTAAGCAAAGAAAATAAAATCTAGCTACTTAATCATGTAACATTTACACTCACTAAAAAATTACTAAACATGCTGGGCTTGGTGATGCACACCTGTAAGCACAGCACTCAGGAGGCTGAGGCAGGAGGATCGCAATGAGTTCAACTTACATAGTAAGTTCAAGGCCAGCCTGAGCTATATAGTGAGACCCTATCTCAAAAAAAAAAAAAATTACTATATATGTGAAGAAGCAGGAAAATATAAACCATAAACAGGAAAAAAATAACAAAAGAAATCCAAAAGTTACAAAGTAAATGAAATTATATTTTAAAACAGAAGACTTTAGAGCAGTTATCATAAATATAGATGAGAACTGAAAAGAAGGTAAATATATGAGAAATTAAAACCATAAAAAGAGCCACATCAAACTTCTAGAGTAGAAAAATACACTGTCTGACATTAAAATTTTGCTGTGTGGATTTACCAACAGATGAGACATTGCCAAAGAAAGGCTCAGTGGACAAAGAAACAATGCAAAAGAATTCTAGGGGCTTGCAATATAGCTCAGTGGTAGAACTCTTGCCTAGTATATACAAGGCCCTGGCGGCCAGGGATTAGCTCAGTGGTGCTGCCGCCTGCCTCAAAAGCACAAGGTCCCAAGTTTGATCTCCAGTACCAAAAACAATACTAGCCCCTGGATTCAATTTCCAGTACTTTTTTTTTTTTTAAGGGAAAAAAGAATAATCGATATTATAACACAGAAAGAAGAAAACTTAGAAAATGAACAGAATCTTGGTAGCCTGAGTCAATACAAAGTTGTTTAACAGTGTGATCAAAGCCACTGAAGGAAAGGGAAAGAGACAAAAATTATTTGAAATAATAATGGCCAATGTTTTTCTAAATTGGATCAAATAAATAAACCTACCGAAGCCCCCCCCCCCAAAAAAAAAACTAATCCCAAACAGGATAAACATAAAACCATAGCAGGGCACTTTTGAAACTGCTGAAAACCAATAATTAAAATGATAGAAACAAGGAATGGAACTATGAAATCACTGTGCCTACAGAGAACAAAGATAAAAGTACTACTGACTTCGCCCTTTGTATCAGAAAGAATGCAAATCAAAATATAATGGGGTAAAATCCTTAAATCCCTGAAAGACAAATCTCTGACAACTTTCAGTTCTATGTGCAGCACAGTTCTTTTGAAAGTAGGAGTGATAACACATGCCTGTGGACCTTACCTAGCTAGTAAGAAGACTAAGGCAGGCAGATCACTTGAACTTAGTTCAAGGCCAACTAGAGCAACATAGCGAGACCCCTGTCTCTTAAAAAGTAACAGGGCTGATTTTCAGGAAAATAAGTGACAAGAAATTTATGGTATCCTATCTAAATTGCTGTATAATAAATATTAAGGAAAGCCTTTCAGATTAAATAAAAATGATTTCAGGTGGAAACTTGAGTTCACACAAGAGGAATGAAAACATCAAAAAGAAGATTTTTCTTTTAAAATTTATCTAGTAAGGGAAAAGAAAAAAATATGGGAAAATGAAAATATGGAAATAAAGTATTTGTAAATGGGGAGGAGGAGGGGGTGAAGGGAGGGCAGGGACAAGGGCAAAAAATGAGAACCAAGACCTGTCATGTAAAGGTACAAAATGCCAATGATGAATGTAACTGTGCTGTATACCTAAAATGTACCAATAAACTCAATTTAAAAAAAATAAAATAAAGTTTACCTAGTATAGTAAACTTCTTAAAGCAAAAATATTGACATGTTTTGAGGTTTATAACGTGAAGGGAGGGCAGGGACAAGGGCAAAAAATGAGAACCAAGACCTGTCATGTAAAGGTACAAAATGCCAATGATGAATGTAACTGTGCTGTATACCTAAAATGTACCAATAAACTCAATTTAAAAAAAATAAAATAAAGTTTACCTAGTATAGTAAACTTCTTAAAGCAAAAATATTGACATGTTTTGAGGTTTATAACAAAGAAGTAAAATATATGTTACTAATATCATGCAAGAAAGGAAAAAGGGATATACTGCAAATAGTTGCACCTTAGCTTCTGCCTATTAGTACCCAGGAAATGTATTATGCATGTTGGGGATACAAGGAATGGTGACGTTTTTGTGGATTAAATGCTTTCAGCCTCCTAGTCATTCATCCTTTATTTCCTGCACTAGTGAAAGCTGTGTAGTATTCCTGTCAGTGGCTCATCTATTTTGCCAGGTTCCATTAACCATTTAAACGATTCTCTGCAGTTAGGCCCTCTGGCTGCCACTCTGACTTTGCCAATCATCACAGTAATCATGGTTCCACCCTAGCCTTTTGTGGTTAAGCATTGCCACTTGACCGTTTTTGTTAAAGGTCCTTTGATGTGGAGAGCCACTTTCTATAACAGCCTCTGCTGC